AAGGGTGAGAACCAGAGCATGGAGCATGGAAGCCATTTCCAAGATAATTCCAAAGGAGCTCCCAACCACTGGGACGAAAAAATAAAAGAGGTACAAAATCAACTAGACGACATTTTCAACACTATGAAAGCACAGAGACCCGAGACAGTGGACTGCCTCGTAAGTCGAACCAACACACCCTTCGTACCTAACGTGACGAACTACCCACTTCCCAAGAAGTTTAAAATGTCATCCGTTGAAACCTTTGACGGTACGAAGGACCCACTTGATCACCTCGAAACTTTTAAGACCATGATGCAACTACACAGCGTCCCCGACGAAATTATGTGTAAGACATTCCCAATTACCTTGAAGGGATCAGTGCGACAATGGTTCGCCAAACTCACCCCGGCCTCCATAGGCTCCTTCGCCGAACTGAGCAGATCCTTTGTGACACAATTCATTGGTGGACGCCGCCAACAGCAGCCTGTCTTCCATCTGCTCAGCATAAAACAGGATCGTAATGAGAGTCTAAGGAGTTACCTCACTCGTTTTAACGAGGAAGTCCTCCAAATCGAGGAACCCAATGACAAAGTCGCCATGACTGCCTTCCTGGGAGGCCTCTGCTCATCCAGATTCCTTTTTTCAGTAATAAAGTAACCACCAAAGAGCATGCCAGAACTATTCATAAAAGCTCAAAGATATATGAATGCTGAGGAAATCAACAAGTTTAGGCAAGGTGAATCATCTCACAGATCACCAGAAACTTGACCTGCCTCTGCACTGTTCTCAAACAGGCAGCCTACCTCCAGTTTAGCGGCTCTCTCACGGGTCGTCAAAAAACTTGGCCTCTGCACTGTTCTCAAACAGGTAGCCTATCTCTAGTTTAGCGGCTCTCTCACGGATCGCTAAAAAAAAAAAAAAAAAACTTGGCCTCTGCACTGTTCTTAATCAAGCAGCCTATCTCCAGCTTAGCGGCTCTCTCACGGTTCGCCAAAATTTTTTTTGGCCTCTGCACTGTTCTCAAACAGGCAGCCTATCGCCAGTTTAGCGGCTCTCTCACGGGTCGCCAAAAAACTTGGCCTCTGCACTGTTCTCAAACAGGCAGCCTATCTCCAGTTTAGCGGCTCTCTCACGGGTCGCCAAAAAACTTGGCCTCTGCACTGTTCTCAATCAAGCAGCCTATCTCCAGCTTAGCGACTCTCTCACGGGTCGCCAAAAAATTTTGGCTTCTGCACTGTTCTCAAACAGGCAGCCTATTGCCAGTTTAGCGGCTCTCTCACGGGTCGCCAAAAAACTTGGCCTCTGCACTGTTCTCAAACAGACAGCCTATCTCCAGTTTAGCGGCTCTCTTTGGAATCGCAAAAAAAAAAAAAAAAAACTTAGCCTCTGCACTGTTCTCAAACAGGCAGCCTATCTCCAGTTTAGCGGCTCTCTTTGGGATCGCCAAAAAAAACTTAGCCTCTACACTGTTCTCAAACAGGTAGCCTATCGCCAGTTTAACGGCTCTCTCACGGATCGCCAAAAAAGTTTGGCCTCTGCATTGTTCTCAAACAGGCAACTTATATCTCAAACTTAAAGACTCCCTCATGGGTCGCCAAAAGCTAGGTCTCAAAAAGTGTAGCTCTCTCACGAGCAGTTCTCCAACTTTGTCTTTGCTCTCGCGCAAGCAGCCTACTTCTCTCTCTCCAGATAATTATGTGAGATATTTTAATGTTTGGAATAACATTATTTTGGTCATCACAAGCAGGCTCTCCCGAGGTAGCCCCAGGCTCACCCAAGGCGCCCAACACCTGGAGAAGGGCTTGATCATCAAGGGCAGCACCCAAAGCTTCCTTACTACTTGCAATGTCTAGCCCAACGCCTGAAAGTGTGCCTGACTGCTGTTGCTCGTCAAAACAAATTTGTCCAGTAGCTTGAAGGGTGCTTGGCCCTTCAATATTGCGCAAAGCAGAATTTTCGGCGCAAAAATCAGCACCTAAGGCGCCCAAATCAGTGCCTCGAGTGGGAATCGGATCAGCCCGTGCTCCCAGGCCACTGCCTAGCTCTCCCTGACGAACCTTGGACTGATTTTCAGCGCCCCTTGATGGAAAAATGCTGCTGCCCAGCGTTCCAAAGCCGCCTAGCGCAGCAGACCTGAAGCTGTCCGGGACAGCAGAAGCAGCAGCTAGGCTGCTGCCCAGCGCACCTGGGCTGTCCAGGACAGCAAGGCCAGCTCCCAGGCAGCTGCCCAGCGCGCCTGGGCTGTCCAGGACAGGAGGGGCAAAGCCTAGGCAGCCGCCCAGGCCCCCAGCGCACGCGCGCGTGCTGCCCAGCTGCGCGTCTGCGCTGCGCAGTCGCGCGCCCAGCATGCCTGCGCTGCCCAATCGCGCGCCCAACCGTCTCCCTTCGCTGCCCAAGCCACTCCTCGCGCTGCCCATCTCCCCTTCGCTGTCCAGCCCTTCATTTTCAGCCCCAAAGCTGTCCAAGACAGCATTCGAATGCTCAAAACTAGCCTCTAAGTTCTCCAAAATGGTGCCTACTTTCTCCCTTTCTTCAACCTCCACCACTCCCTCTTCAATCGACATTGTTCACTTGAGAAGCTCAACTAGCAAGGAAGAAATCACACTCTTGAAAGGATTCAAGGAGAACACACTTTGGCTTCAACAAAATGGGTAGGACTTGAGTTCTCAAGGTTTTCAAGAGGTGGGTGCTCAACCTTAAAAATGAGTGAAATGGGTAACATGAAGAAGAAGACTATATTTATAGTCTAGGGTTTTTCAAAAAGAGGAAAAAAGCCCAAATAGAATATTATGGGCCCTCTTCAAAATAAAGTGGTCAAACAGAAAATTATGGGCCCTCTTCAAAATAAAGTGGCCAAATAGAAAGTTATAAGTCCTTTTCAAAACAAAAAGGCCAAACAGAATATTATGGGCCTTCTTTAAAATAAAGTGAAAAAAAAAATGTAATTAATGTCTCCTTCTCCAAGTCTCCTTGGACATGGGGCATTGGGGGGCAAATGATGGGTTAAGCCCAAATAGTCTAATTTATGTGTTAAAGTCCAACCCCAGTTGAGGAGCCCAACCTCATTTTGATTCCACCAAGCCCAAGACAGTCCAAGGCCGGTTAAACTTCTTGCTTAGCACGTCATCAAGAGGAGAGCACGGGAAGCTTATCTGCACCACCAAAGGAAAACGGTCCAAATCCACCAAGTCCAAGACAGTCCAAGGCCGGTTAGACTTCTTGCTTAGCACGTCACCAGAGGAGAGCACGGGAAGCTTATCTGCACCACCAAAGAAAACGGTCCAAATCCACCAAGTCCAAGACAGTCCAAGGCCGGTTAGACTTCTTGCTTAGCACGTCACCAAGAGGAGAGCACGGGAAGCTTATCTGCACCACCAAGGAAACGGTCCAAATCCACCAAGTCCAAGACAGTCCAAGGCCGGTTAGACTTCTTGCTTAGCACGTCACCAAGAGGAGAGCACAAGAAGCTTATCTGCACCACCAAAGGAAACGGTCCAAATCCACCAAGTCCAAGACAGTCCAAGGCCGGTTAGACTTCTTGCTTAGCACGTCAAGAGGAGAGTACGGGAAGCTTATCTGCACCACCGAAGGAAACGGTCTTATCTTTGACCACGTTTCATGAAGAGCTCCCCAACCTCCTCCTCTCGTGGAGGATAAGTCGTGATCTCCACCAAGAATAATCTTTTAGCTGCGATAAAGAAGCCTTGAGGATATGTCATGATCTCTACGAGGATGATCTCTTAGCTGCTATAAAATAGCTCCAATCTAGTAAAAAAAAGAGGGATCACGCCCCACCAGAGACTTACAGAGGATGAACCGACTACCGGAGATTACTATTTTCTTTGATTCTCCATTCTTTCTCTCAAAGCTTGTATCTCCATTCTCCATACCTTTGAATCAATAAAATACCCGGCAACTGAAGCCATTGAAGAGTGGACGTAGGTCAAATTGACCGAACCACTATAAATTGTGTCTTCTTTAATTTTTTAATGATTTCATTGCATTTATTATCTACACTTGACATGTGGTGTGCAAAACCATTTTTGTGCAACATCAGAAGTGACTTTTTAAAAATACTTCTAGAAATTATTTATCATAAGTATTTTTTAAAAAATAATATTTGAAACCACCTCACTACTACCTCTATCATCACCTTCAATACCTCTACCACCACCGCCACCGCCACCACCGCCGCCACCGCCATTGCCACCGCCACCGCCACTACTACCACAGTCATTACCACCCACCACCACCATTACTGTCTTCTATCACCACCACTGTCACGCACCATCTCTCACCCTCACTACAATCGATATTTAAATTTATTTATCTCTCCTATATGTTTGTGATTTGATTTTGAATATGAATACAAATATGTTTATTGTTTACTATTTTTTATTACTATGTGCCTTTAAGTACAGACAATAACTTGTATATATATAATTTATGAAATATTTGAGATATCTAGAGAATAAATCCAAACGTTGAGGGGTGTCATTGTATTTTACTTTCCTTTTTCCAATTCCATCTAACTCACTCGTCCGAGTCTCCAAAGTCCAAACAGTCGGATATTTGACCGGGTCGCTCTAGGAAAATCCTCCCGGTTTATTATTCTAATCAGAGTCCTAGTCTTGTAAAGCTATCTATTCTCTTCGCTTATTCTTTTCTTCTCCACACAACCACCTTGATCGTCATCGTCTTCGTGCTCGGTGTTTGTCCAATCGCAAAAGGTACTTCTCTCTCTCTCTCTCTCTCTGTCTTCACTTGCACATGTATGTGTCGATCAATTTGTTTGAATCTTGCAATTTTCAGTTTTACCAATAGGGTTATCATCGTCTTTATTAACCTAAAAGGTTTTAAATCGAATTTTTTTTTTCACTTGATTTACAGAAGAATGATTGAATTTGTGTTGTTAGTTGTTGATGACGGTTATGGTGATTGATCGGGGTTTGGTTTTGTGATCTTAGGGTTTGTAAGGGCGTGGTTCTGAGTTTGATCGTTGGGAGAGGGAAGATAAGATGTGGGCTGCTTCTTGCCTTGCGTCATGTTGTGCGGCGTGCGCATGCGACGCGTGCCGAACGGTCGTGTCCGGGATTAGCAGGAAATCCGCTCGGATTGCTTATTGTGGCCTCTTCGCACTCTCGCTAATCGTCTCGTGGATTCTTAGGGAGGTTGCTGCACCTCTCATGGAGAAAATTCCATGTAAGATGGTTCGAATTCTTCATCCTGATGAGTGTTATTTGAAAGTTATTGAAGAATTTAATCTTTCACTACATACGCGTTAAAATTGACATGCTAATTTGTGTAGTACAAACACGGTCCGAACAAATTTGAGGATCATAAGTTGATTCGGACACAATTTATATGGAGAACTTACTGATGTTTTGCACAACCAGTGAATTCTTAGATTTATCCTTTGCAGGTGGTTACTGGTTAATGATAAAGCTGATCTCTCATTGATTTTATGTGCAGGGATTAATCATTTTCACAAAACGCCCGATAGAGAGTGGTTCGAAACAGATGCAGTGCTGCGAGTTAGCTTGGGGAACTTCCTATTCTTCACTATTTTAGCTGTTATGATGATTGGTGTGAAAAATCAGAAGGATCCTCGCGATAAGTTGCACCATGGTGGATGGATGATGAAAATTATTTGCTGGTGTGTTTTGGTGATCTTGATGTTTTTCCTTCCAAATGGCATCATCAGCTTCTACGGTAAGGCCAGTTTTCTGGAGGAGTCTGCAACTTATAATATATTCTATTTTTTGATTTTCTGATGATGATTGTTCCAATGTGAAATTATTTATTGTCTTCTTTATGTACCAAGTGTTCTAAGTTATGATGTAGATTTTGTAGCATGGTCTAGATAATTGACAGATTTTTTGTCTTCCATTGCAATGAACCTTTAAGGGCTTCACGAAAAAGTGTAATATAATATAGCTGGAATATTACTCTGAGTTCTCTGGTAGTTCTTGATGATAAAAGATTTGATTAGTTGTGGGAAAGGGGAGAAAGGTAGTATAGGGATACAAAAAGGAAAGGCTGTTTCCACATCTTAAGCGTTGTGATGACAAGAGGTATCCTTCCATAACCAATCTCTAGTTGTAACAACATTTTTTGACTACCTGGCATTCATTGAATAACAGTGAGGTTCCTGAAAATTAGGTGGGTTGTTGAGAGAGTTAGGCCTGTGTTTATAGAAGGGATGTGCTGTCTTAAAATTCATTTGTGCAATTCTTTTTTTTTTTTAAGATAAGAAAAAAATCTTTCATTAATAGTGAAATATAAAACATAAAGATGAACAAGAAGTCCACCCTACAATAAAAGCAGGTTACAATATAATAAGCCAGAGACAATATGCAAGCAGCGGCAATATTCAGCTCTATAAATCAAAAGAGGTATTCATGTAACTACACTGCTTTCCAATCAATCATTTGTGCAATTCTTTGACAATTTGAAAAGACAGTGTGCTTTTTGTTGGGAAAGCAAGGAAGTTTTTGGTTAGGGTGTGGTGTCAATTATCATGCATGTGGTTTTCTTTTGTCACTCTTGTCTCACTTTCAGGCAGTATGAATTTGTGCCAGCCAAAATAGAATTAAATCTCATATATTCTGATTCCTTGTTTTTTTTTTTTTTTGGTCGTCAGTATTCCAATTACTTGTTAAGGCAAGCATTTAATAAACTGTTTCTGTTGTATTGTTCATTCCTCGTCAATCCAATACCATTATGTTGTGTTTCCTCATAGAGAGATACAATGTAATCATACAAATTGAAGGGGAACAGTTCTGTGTGGGGCTCATTATTAGACATGAAATCATGCCCTTTGGCTTGGTGTCTTTTCTTCTCACTTGGTGGATTTTTTTCTTAAATAAGTATTGGATGCAAAAGTGGACTCACTTTTAAATAGATATAAAAATTGTAATAATATACGTTTTCTAGTACTGAAACAGTGAAACCAAATGACAAAATCTTCTGAGGAAAGACAAGGACCAAATTCAACATGGATTTCGTACCAATCAGAATCTACCAATACATAAGTGTTAGTTTGAGTGACTTTTCCTGGATGGTAGGTGTATTGGCAGAATTCATCACCTGGTTGCCTGAGCATTGTTAAGCCGCAAAGTTTTGTAAGATATTGCCAGATGTAGGAAATACATTTGATATTTGCTTGGGTTTCATGTGCTAATAGAATGTGTTAGTGCAACCTTTTCTCCAGTGTATGCTTTCATTTTAAAAGTTGTGCACTGCCAAGTAAACCTTGGCACATTTGCATTCTCGTGAAAAATTGGATTTAGTTTAAAATTTCTGTCTCTTTGTTGTTTTGTTTTAAAAAAACTACATTCTATGAGTAGCTGTGATGATCATGAATTGGATTAAGCTTACATTTTTGGTTTTTGAATGCAGAGTCCATTTCCAAGTTCGGCTCAGGATTTTTCCTTCTTGTTCAAGTTGTGCTTTTGTTGGACTTTGTCCATGGATGGAATGACAAATGGGTTGGATATGATGAGCAATTCTGGTTAGTTGCAGGCTTGTAGCTATTGTTACCCTCCCACCTCTTAAAGCTAATGAATTTTTTCAGGCCAATCTAGGCTCGTTATTTTTAGCACTATCAGGATTGTAACCTCTCTCTCTCTTTCTATAAATTCTGCAGGTATATTGCTCTGCTTGTTGTCTCCCTTGTTTGTTATGTTGCAGCATTTGCCTTCTCTGGGCTTCTTTTTTATTTGTTTACCCCATCTGGACATGACTGCGGGCTCAACACCTTCTTTATCGTGATGACCCTGATCTTGGTGTTCGTGTTTGCTGTAATCACACTCCACCCTGCAGTAAGTTTTAAGTCTTCCACTTTATGTCATTAAAGCCAGTTATTTCAATTTCTTTATCTTCTCACATATAGATATGCTGCTGTGTTTAGCAAAGGAATTAGTAATGAAAAAACTTGGATATTACCAAAGGAATTAGTATAAAAACACATTAATTCATGCACACAAACATGAATTATCAAAGGTGGGTAGGAATTTATCTTAGAAGCGTCTTTGATACATTTCTTGCTTCTACACTGGTCTATCTAAAGATTTTGGACGAAACATTGACAAGAAGCAGAGCCATGTGACACTATTGATTAATTAGATTTGAGGGAGAATTTCAGTTATTCAGGATAGACAAAGCTACTGTAAATATAGGAACAATCAAGGCTCAATTCTCAACCTCTGATATCAGATCATGCAGCAATGCCTTTACACCGGTGCCTCACAGAGACTAAAATTTTGGTTTTTGAGCCTTGTTAACATTCACGGGGCCATTCGACTCAGGCCTATTGTTCTGTTAAGAGTTTCATGAAAGAGGCAACCTGGGTTATGTGTAGTTGACATTAAACTTGTTTGAATCCATTTTTTACGTTAGTTTTCATTTTGTTTTTTGTCCACGTTTTTTAGGGCTTGGCTTGTTCTAATCAAGTGTGCAGTCTAATTTTCGTTTGTACTACTAACATCACATATTGATTTACGAAATGATAATAACATCAATATATGAACCTTTTGATCAACATATAATGTGCATTGATGCACTCTCAGTTCGTCTAGTTACTAGTACATGAGAACTATTGTGAGTTTGTTGTCTCACTGATTTGCGTGACACGAAATAGGTAGGTGGCAGCGTTTTGCCCGCTTCAGTTATATCTGTCTACTGCATGTACCTCTGCTACAGCGGACTTGCCAGTGAACCAAGGGATTATGAGTGCAATGGTCTTCACAAGCATTCTAAAGCTGTCTCTACTGGTACACTGACTGTTGGGCTCCTTACAACTGTTCTGTCTGTTGTCTACTCTGCTGTTCGTGCTGGATCTTCGACGACTCTGCTCTCCTCCCCAAGCTCACCTCGAGCAGGTCAGTCTTTTCCTTGTCTTCTTTTTTTTCACTGGAAATTTGTCTTGTCAATATATGGATTGTGGGTGTTTGGTTGTGCAATGTTTTTGCATGCCATTGAAGTGAATGCGTTGCAAGCCTGGTACTGACTACTGATGTTTTTTTGTTCCCAAATGTTTGTTAAGAGGAACTGTTTCATGTTAAAAGTAATCTATAGATGCTGAAGTATACATTGGTCTGATGTAAGAATTTTAGGTTGGCATACTTTACTATCTGTTTGTTAGTCTCTCACTGTTACCCTTTATTAGAAAGTAACCATTATTGCTCATAATTGATGTGTTTGATGTTTTGTTCAATTCATAACTGGAAATGTCTGGCAAAAAGGTGTTTTTGGCTATAAGAGTAATAAAAGCACAGTAAAGAATATTTTTTATAACCGTGTGATTAACTCAACGTGATGGACTGACTTCTGCGGAGAGTAACATTTTTATTTTCATAATGAAGGTGAGGACAAGCCTTTGCTTCCATTGGACAAGGCAGATGAGCATGAAGAGAAAAATCAAAAAAACCAGTCTCATATTCCTATTCTTTCTTCCACATCATATTTTCCCTCGCTAGCATGTACTCCGCAATGCTTCTTACAGGGTGGTCAACCTCAGTCGGAGAGAGTGGTAAGTTGGTGGATGTGGGGTGGCCATCTGTTTGGGTCCGAATTGTAACTGGATGGGCAACTGCAGGTTTGTTTATCTGGTCTTTGGTTGCCCCACTTCTGTTCCCGGATAGGGATTTCTGAGCCTCCTAAAGTGAAGTCCAGACAATAATGTGTCCGTTTGGATGATGGTACGTTTGCATATATGTCCTGAAGATTCTTAGTAATATGTGTGATGTGTAAGAGACTGAATGCACGCCTTAAATTTCTTAATAAGAACAAACTGGTTTGCAACTGCTGCTAGCCTGCTATATATGATTTGATTTCTATTGTGTACATGCTTGCTTACTAATCATCATCCCCATTATTTGTTTGTTGGGAAGAAACGAGAAAGATCCGGATCAATGAATGACAAAGATCCCCATGATAGCCAGTGCCTTCATTTTCCGTTGTGTTCATATGTCTATGGATCCCCCCTCCCCCCTTTGTTTTTGGACATTCCTGCTATCGTCTCAGACACTCCGCCCCAACTTGTCTAATATGTCTGGTACTGGTACTGAGAGAAGGATGAGAGGTGTAGAGAAGATGAAGATGAGAGACTAAAAGAGACAAGTAAATGAAAAATTTTAGAGAAAATTATAAGACAAGGTGATTAAA